GACAAAAAAGGTTTACTTTTTTATAAGAACATAGAAAAAGAATCAACAAAGATACTCTAGTACATAGAAACATACACACACACACATCTCCATATGGAAATGTGTGTCTAGTTAACAGAATTGGATGTGGTGACTTTCATGGTCTTAGGAGATCCATCAAGTCTGAAGGGCCTGGACCCCATGTGAGTGGCCTTTATAGCTACAGTTCTATCACTTTTGAAACAGTAAACTAAAAGCTTGTATGTCCCCAGCCTATCTCTGAGATCCTGAAATAAAACATTCAGTAGCCCCCAAAAAGAAGCAACAGGACCAGCTTAAGCCTTCCCTCTAGAAGTGCAGAGGAGACCAACCCTAACATCAAGTCTGAGGTCAGGAAGTAGACTAGTAGAATGAGCAAACAAAAGAATCCCACCATAGAGAGATAAAGGGATGCTCCAGACACAAACTCAGAAGCAATCAATGAATAAACATTTATTAAGCCTCTTCTGTGTGCCAGGCACTATGCTAAACACTAGGGATACAAAAAGAGCTGTAAAAGACAGTTCTTGGGCCTCAAGGAGCTTACCATCAAATGAGGGACACAATATGCAAACATGTATACAAAGCAAGTGATATACCGGATAAACAGGAAATAATTAACAGAGGGAAGGCATTAGAATTAAGATGGTTTGGAGAAGTCTTCCTGGAGAAGGTGGGATTTTAGTTAGGACTTAAAGGAAGCCAGGGAAGTCAGTAGAAGTAGAGTGAAGGAAAGAAAGCATTCCAAGCATAAGGCACAGAGAAAATGTTCAGAGCTAAGATGGAGTGTTTTGTTCGTGGAACAGCCAGGAGGCCAGTGTCACTGGATTGAAGCAAGGCATGGTGTAAGGATGTAAGAAGACTAGAAAGGTAAGAGGGGGCTAGGTTATGAAGGGCTTTGAATGCCGAATACAGAGCATTTTGTATTTGCTCTTGGAAGCAATAGGAAGCCACTAGAGTAAGGAGGGGATGGGAAGGTGACGTGATCAGACCTTTAGTGGCTGAATGGAGAATGGATTGGAATAGGGAGATACTTGAGGAAGGTAGACTCACCAGGTATCTATGGTAATGATCCCGGCATGAGGTGATAAGGGCCTGCACTAGAGTGGCAGCAGTGTCAGAGGACAGAAGGGGAGATGCTGCAAAAGTGAAATTGTCAAGGGGCAGCGAGGTGGCGCAGTGGAGACAGCACTGATTCTGAAGTCAGGAGGACCTGAGTTCAAATGTGGCCTCAGACCAAACACTTGACACTTACTAGCTGTGTGACCCTGGGCAAGTCACTTAACCCAATTGCCTAAAAAAAAAAAAGTGAAATTGTCAAGCCTTGGCAAGATCTTGGATATGGGGAGGTGAAAGATACTGAGGAATTTGGGATGACTCCTAAATTGTGAGCCTGTGGAGTTGGGAGGATGGTATTGCAGTACCACAGTACTAGGTACTGTGTAACAGTACAGTAATAGGAAAGGTATGGGGATTGGGAGGTAAGAGGTTAGGGGGAAAGGTAATGAGTTTTGTTTTGGACATAGTGAGTTTCAGATGTCTGCTGGACATCCAGTTTGAGATGTCTGAAAGCAGATGCAAGACTGGAGATCAGCAGAGAGATTAGGACAGGATAGCTAGATTTGTGAATCATCATTAAATCCATGGGAGCTGATGAGATCACCAAGTGAAGTAGTATAGAGGGGAGAAGGGAAGAGGGTCCAGGACAGAATCTAAGGACATTTACAGTTAGAGGGTATGATCTGGAGGAAGAACTAGCAAAGGAAACAGGAGTGGTCGGAAAGGTAGGAGGAGGGCAGCTAGGTGGTGCAGTGGATGGAGCACCGACCCTGAAGTCAGGAGGACTTGAGTTCAAATCTGCCCTCAGACCAAACACTTGACACTTACTAGCTGTGTGACCCTGGGCAAGTCACTTAACCCCAATTGCCTAAAAAAAAATTAAAAAAAAAAAAACAAAACTAAAAATGATTACTTTAAAAAAAAAGAAAGGTAGGAGGAAAACTAAGAGAGTGTGAAAACCTCGAGAGAAGGTAGTAGCAAGGAGGGGAGAGTGATCAGTAGTGTCAAAGGCTGCAAAGAGGTCAAGGACAATAAGGATTGAAAAACCATTGGATTTGGCAGCAAAGAGATGATCTATATCAGTAATTTTGGAGAGAGCAGTTTTGGTGGAATTATAAAGTCAAAAGCTACATTTTTAGGGGTTAAGAAGAGACTGAGGAGAGAAGTGGAAGCACCTATTGTGTATAGGTGGCCTTTTTGATGAGTTTAGCTACTAAAAGCAGAAAGGATATAGGATGATAGCAAAGATGGATCAAGTGAGAAGGTGTTTTTCAGGATAAGGAAAACATGGACATATTTGTAAGCAGTAGGAAATGAGCCAGTAGAGAGGGAGAGATTGAAAATAAGTGAAAGACTCTGGTCCAGCCTTGACCACCCCTTGGATCACATGCCTCCCTCCACCCCCCCCCCACCCCCAGCTCCCTCAAATCATGCCCACCTTCTTCCTTGAGCTCCTCTGCACCTAAACTCCAACATGGATTCAGTGGTGGAATGAATGTGGGCAGGCCCTGAGAAACACCAGAGAGCCACAGTGGCCCCTTAGACACTGTTGTCCCCACAGCCTTTTGGATATGCCTGTGAATGGAGGAAAATTGTGCCTACCATCTCTGCTGCCCCCTCTTGAAGGGGTGATGGTGGGGTGGGGGAATCCATACAATCCACCCTCTCCAGCCTGGAAGACATCTCTCATCGGTGTTTGCGTGTCTTTACCCCTTCTCCATTTATTAAAATGTAATTTTATCTTCTTAAAAAAAAAGAGAAAATAAGTGAAAGAGCAAAAATGGCAGAGGGTCTGTTGAAGGAGATGTGATGGAATAAAATCTAGTTAGCCTGGGTAAAGACTAGGGCAACCTCTTCCTGTGAGACAGAGTTTGTGAAGGAGGAGATGTGGCAGAAGACATATGAATGATCTGCATTGAGGAAGAGGGGGGCAGAGGAAGTTCATGGCAAATGGCCTCAATTTTTTTTCTGTAGAATATGAAGCAAGATTCTCAGCTGAAAGAGTCAAGGAAGGGGGTGCCAAGGGAGATTTGAAAAGGGATGAAAAGACTTGTAAGACCCATTGTGGAGAGTGGGATAGTGAGTTGATAGGGGATGTGTAATATCATTGTCTGGCAACAGTAAGGTTGCCTACAACAATTGAGATTATGTAATGTAAATTTGTATTGGATTCAGTCAGAACAGTTGCATGATTTTCTTCATCTTTGTTTAGCAGCATGTGTATAGAAGTGAAGGCAACAGATGATGAGAGTGATCCAAGGCTGAGACTTGGCTGAGTGTAATCAGTGATATGATAAATTTGGAGCTAATCTTGGTAGATAGTTTTAGGTATTGGTCTTTACCTTGTTTCTGCCAGAATACTTTTAAATTTTCCCAACAGTTAATAACAAAAATAGTTGTTTTCGTTTTTTGAATAGTGAGTTTTTATCTCAATAAATAAGGTTATGAAATGCTAGGCAACTGTGTTTCTATCTTTATATTGTGTACCTAACCTGTTCCATTAATCAACCTATTTCTTACTTAGTACCAAATAATAATTACTACCTTGTAGTATAGTTTGAAATGTGGTACTTCTTGAGCCCATTCCTTCCCACCTTTAGTAATCTTTTGGTAGTTTGATTAGTATGGCACTGAGTAAGTGAATTAATTTGGGTAGTATTGTCATATTAGCTCATTCTACCTATAATAAATTAATATTTCTCCAATATTTAGATCTATCTTTAGTTGTATAAAGAGTGTTTTGTATTTATATAGTTACTGTCTATGTTTGGGTAAGCAGACTCCTGAGAATTTTTGTAGTTAAAAAGAATTTCTCTTTATATCATTTCCTGCTGGATCATGTTGCTAACATACAGAAATACTGATGATTTATGTGGGTTTATTTTATGTCCTACAGCTTAGCCAAAGTTAAAGTTTCAATTAATTGGTTTTCTCTAAATCATCGTATAGTTTGCAAAAAGTGGCCTTTTTGTTTTCTCTTTGCCTATTTTTGGCTTTAGACAGCTGCTTCTTATATTAATAAAATAACTAATTATCCCTGTGTTGTCTAATAAATGTTGTCTAATAATGCCATCTCCAGAGGCGTCACCAGAAACATGGAGGACACAGTGAGCTCACCTTCCTCTGCATCTGGGCCAGTCCCTGCAGTTCAAGGAGATCATTCCATTCCCAAATGCTGGCCATGTTAGTTATGGTAGGCCACATATGACTAGGTCAAGATGGTGGCTCAGCTAAGGTTGATTTCTTTTGTTCTGATCTAATAGAAAAAGGTTTACATTACAATGGCAGGAGAATGATAGCAAGATTAGAGATGATCCAGTTGAGTACAGTTTCCTGGTTTTGGTCATCCTTATGTCTAAAGCCTCAGGTCCCTGCTGGAGCAGATCTTCATGACTTTTGTGTCCTCAGGCAGTGAAGAAACTTCATCAACCACCAATGCTAGCCTAAATATCTTGAATAAAATCTCGAGGACAGTTTTGGTACCTTTTAAGAAAAAATTATCCTAATCAGGACGTTGTTCCCACTATACCATTGTCATACACTGGCTCTCCATTGGTTGTTCCTCTCTTTGTAACTGGATCATTTTTTTGGGGGGGGGTCAAATGTATGACCAAATATAAAATGAGGAACATAGTAATTGCAGCCCTCCAAATTCTTAACCTCAGACCAACTTCCCTCACCACTGAATTGAATTCAGGCACCTATCGTAATGTTAGCATAATCTGCAAAACCACTGTGGAAAAACTTCAAATAAAATATAGTTTTGTTACAACTTTAAAAAAGATATTTACATCACTGTTACATCACAGTAATCCATCTCTTCCCACAAAGAACTTTCCCTTGTAACAAAGAAATATAATTAAGCAAAACAGATCAACATACTTGCCATTCCTGACAATTCCTGACTTATTCCTCACCAACAGTCCACTGTGCCTCAGCTGAAAGGAGAGGGAGGTATGTTTCACTGTCATTCCTCTAAAGTTAGCATTAGTCATTGCATTTATCAGAATACTGATGTTTTTCGGTGTTGTTTTCCTTTACATTATTGTGGTCATTGTGCAAATTGCTTCCCTGACTTTGTTCTATATCAATGCATATAGGTTCTCACAAGTTTCTCTGATTTCTTCTATTCATTCATATGTTTTTGTTGTAGTGATATACCATTCCATTATATTCATATTTCATAAGTTTATTCAGCCATTCCCCTATGGGTGGATACACACTTTGTTACCAGTTTTTGCTACTACAAAAAATCACAGCTAAAACTGATTAATGGAATAATTAATTCTATCAGATTATCACAATATCTGAAAGCATATTACCTATTTCCATTGGACTGGAGAGAATTAATGCATTTTACATAATTACAACTTCAAATAGTATGAATTTGATTGAACTTATGCAACCTACTGTAAATATTTTTGTACACATGGACAAATCTTTCAATTTGACTTGTTTGGTAGTATATCTCTGGTAATAGAATCTTTGGGTCACGGCATCTAATTATATGTGTGTGTGTGTGTATACATACATACATAGCGCGCGCACACACACACACACGCGCGCGCGCACGCACATTCTTTAGTAACTTTTCTAGTATAGACCCAAATTGTTTCCAGTGTGGTTGGAACACTTTGCAACTCTACTGGCAATATATCAGTGTGCCTATCAGTTCAATTTAGCAAAAATTTATTAAGTGTTTATTATTGTGTGCCAGATAGTGTGATATGTAGTGTGAAGATACAAAGACAAAAACAAAACAATCCCTGCTTTTTATTATGGTTATGTTATTAAACTTATTATGGTTAGGGTGGGAGGGAGAGAGAAGATACCAATATACACACAAGGGTGAGTAAACAAAATAATTTTCTGGGAGTGGCAAAAACACTGACAGTTTTTCTTGGGGGCCAGATCAGGAAGGGAAGCAAGTAGTATAATACTGAAAAGAGTAAAAACAGACTGGCATTGAAAGACTTCATAATCTGGCCTAGAGTCAGAGGACACATGTTTAATTCTGCCTCTGTAATCTTGTGCAAATCATTTATCTCCCTGGGCTTCTGTTTACTCATATGTAAAATAAAGGCATTGGAGTAAGTTGCTTCTGGAAGGCCTTCCAGTTCTAAATCTGTGATTCATTGAGGAAGGGTCTTATAAATTTGAGGTAGTACGTGAGGTGATCCTTGAAGGGAGCTAAGGATTACTAGAGGCTGATGTAACGAAAAGCATTCCATACGTGGAGGTCAATTTGTGTAAGGACTCAGAAATGTAAGCTAATTTACCAGATTGTTGGAAGAGAAGGAAGAATAAAACTATTCTGCTATTGTAGCAAATAGGGATTAATGGGGATAAGGATAGGGACAGGACCTGTGATTTCATTGGTATAGCGGAGACCATCTCAATGAGGAACTCCCCCTACAAGTGCAGATTGGCAGCTTCTCTGAAAGTTATTGTTTTAGTGAAATGCACACAGCATTTGAGGTGTTAAGTGACTTGCCTACAGTCACATAGCCAGAATGTGTCAGAGGTAGTATTTGAACCCAGGTCCTCCTGGTTCTTTTTACTGACTTCTTTGGAGTGGATACCACATCAATTACTACCATAACATATGTACCTTCTAAGAACGCAAGAACTAGATAAAGGTCCAAACTCCTTTTAATTAGGTGTACCAAGATCTAACTTTTTCTTTTTGGTATCAGGCTATGTGTGGGTGTCGGTGTGTTTGTACTCAGGTTGATAGCTGATGTTATAAGTAGGAAGTTTTACCTTACTCTTAGCCATTTGTTGCTCTCACTGGGAGGGGATGGCCATAATAACTGATTCATCTATCAGTTAGTCAGCAAACATTATTTAATGCATAGTTTATACCAGGCACTGTGTTAAGCACTGGGAGTACAAATAGAAATAAAAACAGGCTCTGTCCTCAAGGAACTTACATTGTAGTTTGGAAAGACAACAGACAAGTAAGTACATTCAAGATATAGGTAGAATAGTTAGAAGATAATTTCCAAGGGGAAAGTACTAGCCACAGGTAATGGCATCCTGGGAATTTGAGATTTAACCTGTCTTGAAAGAGTTCTGGGAAGCTGAAGGGTGGAGGTCATTGGACAGACCATTTCAGACAAGGGAAAAAGCCAGCACAAAGTCATGGAGATGAGAGAGAGAGAGTGGGATTGGAGAAACAGCAAGTGGGTAATTGTAGCTGGATCATAGAGTACATAGAGGGAAGGCTGAAAAGGAAGGAAAGGGTCAGGTTATGAATAGCTTTCAATGCCAAATAGTTCATAATCGATCCTAGAAGTAATAGGTAACCACTGGAACTGATTAATTAGGCTTCCATGATGTCTTTAGTACAAATGCCAGGCATTTTCAACTTCAGGTATAAGATCACGATCGCCCAAAACACAAAAATTATGCAAATTCAACGTTCACCACATCATTTCCCTTAAATCCTTACTTTTTTCCTAGTTTCTGTTCCCTATAGAAGGTTGCAAATCAAATGAACAAGAAGACATGTATGAGATAATTGATGAGTCCTGAAAATATTGTGTCTACTCCCATCCCTCCATTTCATGTTATTACTTTTCCAAGGGAAAGTAGTCTTCACTGATCATTAGTCTGGTAAGTAAAAAAAAAGATTCAGGAATGCTACAGTTTGCACCAGGAACCAGTTATTGCCAGGAGCTTTGAAAAAAATCCCTCTGTGACAATGTTTGCTGGAACTGCTCATTTATCATATTCACCAAAAGGGATATAAATAAAGCAAGACAAAAAATCAAAACATAATCTTTTCAGTTAAGATTTTTATGAAAAATTTACATACTAAATTAGAGCAGTTAAGTTTTTTTATCTTCACTTTAGTCTCAAGAACAATTACATCTTCCTTATGGTTTTTTTGCCTTCATAGGTAGAAAGGGTTTTGAAATCAGAGGAGCTGGGTTCAGATGCCATCTCTGACACTTACGTGCTATGTAAACTTGCACATATCACTTAACCTCCTTGGGCCTCAATTTCCTTATCTGTAAAATGAGGAAGTTGGAGTAAATGTCTTATGATCTGTCCCTTTCAGATCCGGAGCTGTAGTCCTAAAATGATCACCATCCAAGATTCCTGCTATATTGCTCGATGAGATAAAATTTTAGGTAGATTTATAAAAAGACTACCTGCTCTGTATTCATTGCTGATGTCACCTGAATGATTCAAAAAGTTCCCTTTAAGCTATATACCCTTAGGAGTGCTGTTTCACTTGGTTTTCCTCAACAGGCTTCCTCTAAGAAATTACATAAATTATTATATACTCAACCACTTGCTTAGTATGCTGGAAATGACTGCAGTGTGACAAATCAGAGTAAAAACCTCATATAGTCAAGAAAAATATAACTATAGTTGTGAAATAGAAGTTTGTCTAGATTAATCAGTAAATTTGGGTTCTCTCAGTATCTGTGATTCACATGGCAAGCAACCTAGAAGACTATATTTTATTCTGTTCTAGCCTTTGAGGATTAAGGTGCTTTTGATACCAAGCACAGCCCCTAGCTTCAGCCAAATTACTTGCTCCTCTGTCTTCCTTGGTTTCTTTTCTCAGAAGTCTCTTCCCTTAGGCATCTAGCCAGCATCATCTTACCCAGTACTTTGTACATAGTAAATGCTCTATAAATGTTTGTTGAATTGAAATATCTCCTTCCTTAAATCATTATAGCTATCTCCTGCTTTGATTAATTGGGATTCAGGCTTTCTGGCTCATTTCTGTTCATCTTATTATAATAATTCTCTTTTCCAAACTTTGCCTACATTCAATTTATCCACTTTCCATTCTTCCTTGCCCCCTGGTTATCTATAGATCTAGTCAGCATGGAGAAATGGAAGGGGCACTGGGCTTGGCAACAGGAGATACTCACATTTGAAGCCCATCGCTGATGTTCTAGCTATGTGACCTGTGACTTAAATTCTGTGAATCTGTTTCTTCATCCATAAAAGTGGGTAATACCTGTAGTACTTACATCATAGGGTAGTTGTGAAGATCAGTCTTTACATATAGGTCAGTTATAATTATTGAGAAGCAGTTTAATGGTGCCAGGAGTGAGTTGGACTTGGAATCAGGAAGATTGGGGCTCAGTTCATTTAATCTCTTGGATCTTAAAGTACTGACTATGAAAGGGAAAAAATATTAATATACTTCATTTTCGGTACAAGACTGCCAGAAGCAGTTTTTTAAATTATAACATTAATATTCAAGCCATTTCTCACCTAGAGAAATGTCCAAATGAGCATAACCCACTCATACTCTAAGACGTTTCCCTTTACCTCTAAATGTTTTGAGGTGACATTTATAGGAATCTTGAAAAAGGAAAATATTATAAAGTGTTAAAATACAATTTAGGGTTAGTATTCCAAAACAGTCGTCATTTCTCAGTTCCTTTCTTGACCATTTCCCTCAAGAATTGCCAGGGCTGCCTCCTTGTGTTCAACATTGACCATACTTCAATCTTTAGTTGGGTCAGTAGGCCAGTCACTGTAGGGAGTAGGAAAGGCAGTGATCTAAATCAGATAAATTGATTAATGCCTACCCTTAGTTCACTTTCTTAAGAAAAGCCTTTTGTTCTTGACTTAACCCACCTTTTTAGGAAGGATAGAGGGAGAGGGGAATACAAATCTATAAAGAGCTTTTTGACTAAAGAAATATTATTTCTTAATATTTCTACAGAAATTGAAAAAGTAGTTTTAAAATGCTTCCCTACAGTTCCTACCTCTGTGACATTAGTTCTTGATATAGATACATTATCATCTACCTTGCTAATTTCCTTACACTATTTTATTATCCAATGTAAGTCCATTTCTGATTAGATAGACTGCACCATATTTTTGACAATCCCAAGGTGTTCCTGAACACTTAAGCTCATTTTTGAAATAGCAGTGTTATCTCTATGATGCCATGTGATTGTAAGTCTTGGAATAACAGTGTTTGAACAATCAAAAATGTGGTTCATCCAAACGGCAATGGAGATAAACATGGTGGGCATAAGTAGTTTGCAGCATGTTTACAGCAGTACTCCCAAGAAGTAAAACATAAAGCAAACATGATTAGATAAACAAGGTGGACTAGGTAGCCATCTATGTATGAAGAGTGAGGATAACAGCACATTGGGTAGATCTTTGTAGAGGATCTGTGGGAAACACAGACAAAAATTGCAGAGGGTGTATCCACATCATTATCTCCCTCCTGGTATCTAATTGCACATTTCCAAGTACCTGTTGGAGATGTCAAACTGGATATTCCATCTCAAACTCAACATGTCCAAATTGAATTTATCCTTCCCCATAAACCCCTCCCTTCAATATTTCCCTATTTCTGTTGATGGTCCTAATAATCTATGTACTAAGCTACAGTTTCATCCTTTATACATCATTCTCCCTCACTTCCCATAGCAGCCGCTAATCCATCGTCAAAACATTTCTTGGGCAACTAGGTGGCACAATGGATAGAGCACCAGCCCTGGAGTCAGGAGGACCCGAGTTCAAATCCGGCCTAAGACACTTGACTAGCTGTCTGGCCCTGGGCAGGTCACTTAACCCCATTGCCTAGCCAAAAAACAAAAACAGACCAAAAAAAAAAAAAAAACAAACCCACTTGTTTCTTCCTCCACTATATCTCTTATATCAATTCTCCTCTCTCTACCCAAAAGGTCACCACCCTAATTTATTCCCATGTCACTTCTTGCCTGAATGATTGAATTAGTCTCCTAATTTGTTCTGTACCTCAGGTCCTTCCCAGCTTTAGTCCGTTCTACACAGAGCTGCCAAACCATGTCACTCTTCTTACTCAATAAGCTCTCAATCATCTTGCACCATTTCAAGTACTGGAGTAAATATAAAATAGCATTTACCTATAGAAAGGGAAAGTGGGGGATAGATTACACAATTGGGGAAGGTTTATAATTATAAATAATGTAGTGATAATAGGTTGGTTGACTCTAGGCAAGTCACTTAACTCTGCCTCAGTTTGCTTATCTCTAAAATGAGCTAGAGAAGGAATGGCAAACTACTTCAGTATCTTTGCCAAGAAAACCCCAAATAAAAATTGGACACAACTGAAAAACAACTGAACAGCAGGAATTAAAATGTAGGTTTATTTGCCACAACATAAACTTGTAATAATAATTATAGCTAGCAAAGTCTGTGAAATTGGAGAAATCATTAGGGCACATTGCCTTTGGCGTATAAGACTTTCAAGTTGTAGAACAGTTGCTAGCCTGCATTGTAGAGGGAGTTTTCTCACAAGGAAATCCTACATTGATGAAATCATGGGCTCAGAAACAAAAATGTGTATACATATAATTTTAGGGTTTGTAAAACATTTAAAAATGTTTGTTATTTTTATAGACAATCATTTCTTGATGTGCTGAAATATTAATAATAATGACATTCCTATATTTCTTAATGAGAAATTGAAGCAAAACATTTATTTTATAAAATTAAACCTCACAGTCTAAATCTATAATTTCATTTGTTGGCAGCTGCCATTATGGAGACTCCCTCTGACAGTAGGATCAACAATTCACCTGTAACTTAGATTCTCAGAGAGTTAGACACTGAAAGATTAAGTGAATTGATCATGATCACACAGCTTGTAAGTGCCAGATTCAGGACCTTATTCTAGGTGCTTCTGATGCCAAGACTAATCATTTTTGCATGTATTTTTGAAGATTATTAATTAATTTATTGGTCTTAAATTTATTAGTTATTTTTAATATATGCAAAACTACATTCAATTTCATTTAGAATTCTTTTCAAAGTTAAACTCATTTCAGTACTTTTTCTAGTCTTAATAAATTGTCAGTCCTTAATTAGGGAATTATTGTTTTAAAATTGAGTTGTCTTTTTCATATAATTTGGTTTTCAGGAAACCAGTTTAAAAGTAATGGACCAAAACTCCAGTCCGGGAGCCATAGATGGGATCTCAGAACCATGCTTCAGTTTTGGAGTTATATCAGATATTCAATATGCTGATTTAGAAGATGGCTATAATTTTGTAGGAACCAGAATGAGGTACTACCGATACAGTCTTCATCATCTTCAAGGGGCTATTGAAGAATGGAATGAAGAAAGCAATCACCTCTTTTTTGTGTTGCAACTTGGTGATATCATTGATGGGTTTAATGCACAGTATAAAGTGTCAGAAGAGTCACTACAAAATGTTCTGAAGGAATTTGAAAAACTCAAAGCCCCTGTTCATCATACATGGGGAAACCATGAATTCTACAACTTCAGCAGGGACTATTTAAGAAACTCTAAGCTTAACACAAAATTTTTAGGAGACCAGATTGCACATTGTCCTGAGACCACACCTTCAGAAAACTATTATACTTACCACTTTGTACCTTTTCCTAAATTTCGGTTCATTTTACTTGATGCTTATGATCTAAGTGTTCTTGGAATGGATCAATCTTCTCCAAAATATCAAGATTGTATGAAGATGCTGAAGGAGAAGAATCCAAATAAGGAACTGAATAACCCTCAAGGTGAATTATTCCTTTGAACTGAGAATCTAATACATTTTCTTAAAATTCTTCAGATAGCTTTTATTCAGCAGGAAGATGAACAATTAAGTTAAAACTATTACTACTCAGGGTCGGGACTCATTGACAAACATAAATGTCACGTAGCTTATTTGCTATAGATTATGATTTATGTTTCTTAACTCCGAAAAACCTAGTGAGTTTCCCATGTTACATCCATTTAAGCAAAATAAATATTCCTTTCCTAGTCCTAAGATAAAGCAATATTCAGATGATCAAAGACATATATGTTTGATTTGCTTTATCTGTTACAGGACTTTCCGAACCTCGGTTTGTCCAGTATAATGGAGGATTCAGTCAGGACCAATTGGACTGGTTCAATGCAGTTCTTACTTTCTCTGACACAAACCAAGAAAAGGTAGTGGTTGTGGGTAGGTTTTAACTTTGTGCCTTTCTCGATTACTTATTATTTGAATTCTTCAGGAAATGGGAGAATTTTTGCTTTTCAAAAAAGAAAAGAAAGTTATTCCATTTTGATATCTCAATTTTATAAAATGGATGTTTTGTTTCATTTTTTTATTGGGAAATACATGAATGTTACTAATTTTTCAAGGTGAGTCAAGAAATGATCATCTATAAAATAACAATGTTTTGTAATCCTTAAAGCCTTACATTTTCATTTGAACTTGTCATTTAATTAGGGTAGGGAGCTACTTGTGAGGAAATTCACTCAATTAATACAGGTTGGTAGTTGTCCTACAAATTTATAGTCTTATAGTTACCACAAACAATGTGCTCCTGTGACTACTGCCACGGTCATGCAGACATAAATAATAGATATTGCTTCTTCTCTTCCTCCTTCTCCTCCTCCTCCTCCTCCTATTACTTCTGCAACCATGTATTGTGTCAAATAAGTCCACATTTAAATTTTTAAGTCTCCCTCAAATAGGATTAACATATGTCAAATATAAAATGAAATGAACAATTCCAAGACCTCAAACAAATCTTAGAAAACTTCTCACCAGTGAAAATTGAGCAAAGTGAAGTGATTTACTGTGCCAGGCAGTCATTTTGCTAAACACTGGGGATACAAAGGAAAGCAAAAACCAGTCCCTGCCATCAAGTAATATATTCTAACAGGTAATACAACATGTAAATAACAAGGTACATGACAAAATATACAGACTAGGTGGAAGGTAGACAAGTCACAATCAGTACTGAGTACTCTGCCTACTTGTATACAAATTTCAAATAGAGTCTCAGTTTTGGTAAGACATTGTTTTAGTGTTTGGGGATTTGGGGATATAGCCATGAGTACAGGGAACTGGAACTACCTGGAAACCAGAAAATCAAACTTACAACTTTTTTTGTCTGAAAAATAAGTATAAATAAAATGGGTGAAGGCTTCAGATTCTTTCCTAGCAAAGTGTATGTATTTTGTGACATTTATTTTGCCATCAAAATCATATTTTTCATTACTTCCCTGATTCTTAGCTTTGTTCCCAACATACAAGGTTACCTTCTAGCCAAGTGCTATATTGGTGAACTCTTACTGTATGTGTATCCTTCTTTCCTGCACTATATGTTTCAATCTACTTTGGCAAAGAATCTCAAGGTAAAACCACTAATGCAACTATTTTATATAAAATAGAATTTGTTAATGAATTATAAAATTAAAATATAAGAACACACACAGCTCAGATGACAAACAAAGTAGGAGGAAGGAGTAAGAAGTAGGAAAGCACATCAAACATCAGGTGTCTCTAACTGGAAACCTCTGTAGCTTTATAGAGTAGGACTTGTTAAGAGCTTATGCTTTGTTGGTATATACTCCTCAGAAGCCTGGAGTCCCGTCCCCACCCCCCACCTCCACCCACTCCCACACACACCCCCGCCCAGGGCATTATGAGGTGTTTCTTTAGTGAAGGTTCATACTGCTGATTATTACTATAACAGTTACCATGTACCTAGTGTAGTTTTTGGGCAGCTGAGAGTCTTTATGTAAAACTCTGTCCTTGGCTGGTGTTTGTTGTTGTTTCAGAGATCTTATATATAATATATATATTATATATCTCTTTATCAGGCCCTTCCTTTTACCTTCTTTCTTGTCAGGAAGATACCTACCTTGGGGAAATCAAAAGGGATATCTGGAATCCATAAATTAATAGGATTTTATGGCTGAAAGGAACTATAAGAAATTGTCCTCCCCCTTCATTTGGCAGATGAGGAAATTGAGTTCTAGAGAGGTGAAATAACTGCACAGAGATGGGCGTATTCTGCAGGTTATAGGAACCACTAAACACTCATGTGCTAGTCCTGTAAAACCTTCAAGCCTTTTTCTAGTTTTGCTAAATAAATTATTCTCTAATTTCATCTTTCTATCTCTTTAAATTCCTTTAACATACAACAGACACCTGACTTTTTTAGTACTGCTTTATAAGTTGTTACCAAGTTGATTGTTTACCAAAAGATTTTTAAATTGAAAAACTAAAGTTTGCTCCAAAAACTGGAATATGATAATTAGATCAGGTAAAAGGAAAGTAGCAATGTGATGACAGTGGAAGGGCATGCAGCAGAGCTTCTAGCTGAACAGTAAATTAGGTAATAGTGAAGTGTTGTGGTCCTGTCAGGGATTTCAGGAGCTCATGGTCTTCTTGGCTCTAGTTAGACACTCATACTGGGATACAGAGGAAATATTTTTCCTTTTCCAATGGTTTTCTTATCTGCAGAGTAAACACACAGTACCTCACAGGTACAGGTGTGAGGAAAAACAATTAAAAAATAAAAATAGGATTCTAAGGTAATAGGCGTTGCATGTATAACCCCACACCCTTTTGATTCCATCTTTTTGACGTGTGTAAAAACTATTTAGATTTAAGGGGAAAATGCAAGCTTTTTTATCCTAACCACATATGTACAGACCTCTTTTATTTTTTAATTTGCTCATCTTAGATTGCATAAGGGGCACCTCTCTACTCCCTCAGACCAAGGCAATGTGCTTATTTCATTGCATCAAATTATAAAGGAGAATGTTTCTGACACTGTATAAACTTTCTTGCTCCATTTTGCTAAAAAAGGGGGAATAATCTTGAAACATTTTGCTAGATTATTTGAATTTAATCTGAGTCATGCTTGGTCCTTATTAATCAGTCTGAATATCAAGGTGGTGTTTCACATTACTGCCAAGTAATAGTTCCCCGCAACTAGTAATTTTGATGGAAAGATGTGACAATATTCTTAAACTAGTTCATATTGTGTTTTCTTTTTAATTACAGGTCATGTTCCTATTCACCCAGATGCCTCTGATGATACATGCCTTGCCTGGAATTACAGAGATGCTCTCTCAATCATTTGGTCTCATAAATGTGTGGTGTGTTTCCTTGCTGGTCACTCTCATGATGGTGGGTACTGCATAGATACTCATGGTGTGCACCATATTACGCTGGAAGGGGTTATTGAAACACCACCAGAGAGCCAGGCTTTTGGTACAGTGCATGTTTATCCTGATAAAATGGTATTGAAAGGGAGAGGCAGAGTTCCAGATAGGATCATGTATTACAAGAAAGACTGAAAAGGTTAATTCTGTTCCTTGAATGGCTTTTCTTTTTTCGTTAATTTTAAGAAATATGATAGAAATTACTGTTTTTGTTAATAAATAACCCAGTCCCCATTTAGCATGTTTAATGCATATAATAAACTATATATTTTTCACATTAACATGTTCATTATATATTTTGGAAATTCTCTTTTGTTTTGTGGTTAGAACAATAACCATTTCTTCCTATTACCACTCATGGAACTAATAACAATAGCAACCACAATAATAAAGTATTTACATAGTATTTAAAGGTTTACGAAGCGCTTTATAAATGTTGTATCATATTTTATCCTTACAACAGCCCTAGGAGGTAGGTACTTGTATTATTCTTTGCTCTGAAAGCTACTTAATCTGATTACTAATGAATAAGGTAGGGAATCATTTCATAGGTGAATATGTAGATGCTATGGATCACCATGTGGGGACCTTTCCGCAAAGTTAATTATTATCAAAACCATAACTGTGACTCAGGCACCAGATGCAATAACCTGATATACTGAAGTCACCAGTTAGAAGTCACATGCTACTTTTAATCAGGGGCCTGGACAGTGAGAACCAGCCTGGTGTGAAGGAGCTGAACCTTAAGTCAAGAACTGTGTTTGAGTCCTGCCTCTAACCCATATATGCAGTGTGGCATGGGCAAGTTACTGGTCTTTTCAGTACCTCAGGCAAGGAGAAGAGCTGCTGATCTCCATTGGTGGGAGGACTGTCCATACTCTTTAAGTTGCCCAGATAGACGAATTCACAGGTCCAGTCCAAGAAAATCCTCTATCATCCTTTTTTGCATTTATGCTCCCCCTTTATATTAATAATGCTAATCATTTATATATCCTACTTTAAGGCAGTAGTTTCTGAACTTTATGTAGTAATGGTTACCTTTATAAAACATTGTCATGCTTCCCATTGTTTATTAAAGTGCTCTGAAAATAATTCTTAGCTCATACATCACTCAAATAAAATTAAGAATTTCTTAAAATTTTTATAATACACTTTCATGGAGGGCAGCTAGGTGGCGCAGTGGATAGAGGTCCAGCCTTGGAGTCAGAAGGACCTGAGTTCAAATCCAGTCTCAGACACGTGACATTTACTAGCTATGTGACCCTAGGCAAGTCACTTAACCCCGATTACCTCACCAAAAAGCAAAAAAAAAACAAAACAAAACCCAAAAAAACAAATAACACACTTTCATAAGAGACCTTAGTGACCAATTAATCTAACCAACCCCTTCATTTTACAAATAAGGAAACTGAGTCCTGAGGAGATTACGATGCCCAAAGTTACATAGGTAATATTCATCTTATAATTAAATAGTGTTAACAGACTTTTAATAAGTCTTTCAGTTCTTTACAATGTTCACATTTATAATTTATTAAAATAATCATAAATCAGCAAGTAGTAACCACCTATGTTAGGCATTGTATTAGACAATGGAAAAATAATGACAAAATTAAAGTCTCTTGCTGTCAAGATCACATTCTATTGAGGTATCATTGTTGTGAAGAGTAGGCTTGTTTTTTTGGTGCAAAGTTTCTCAAAACATGGCGTGTCATTGATGATACTACTAAGTAATTAATTTGCCTGCCAGCTAGTCAGTCAAACATTTTTTAAACATCTACTATATTCCAAGATGAGGACTGATAAAGGTCTTCAGATTTAGCAATTAAGATAAGTTTTGGTTGAATGATGAGGTTGGAACCAGACTGTAGAGTTGAGAAGAGCATGAGAGGAAAGGAAAGCAGCAGCTCTTATAGATGACTTTCTCAAGGAATTTAACTATGAAAGGCAGGAGGGATAGGGGAAAATTGCTAGTGGGGATGAATGAAACAAGTAAGGATGAGATATAGGCATGTTTGTAGGCAGTCGGGAAGTGGCCAGTAGACAGGGAAAGATGGAAGGATAAGTAAGAGAGGGGGCAAGGAACTATTAATCAAGTTTGACATTTTGTCTTTATAACAGCTATAGCAGGAAAATTGACTTTACACAAATAAGATGTCATTTTATAAATAATAGTAATATGCAGAAAATACTTTATTAGCCAAAGCATAAGATTTGAAGGTTCATCTTGTCCTCTAGAGGATCTGTCTATCCACAGTTATGGTCCCTTTCCCCTAGTGTTCCACCATCCATAAAATTTGTTGCAGTCAGTAGGCCAAAAGAATGCAGTATCCCTTCTGCCAGGGTGAAGTGGTCCCACTGTAGCTCCAAAAGACAAAGAACCTGGCCAGTCTTATCCCAGACCAATGCACACAGAACATTAATGAGGCAGAAACACCTGACCAGTGGGTTCAGCTGTGACTGAAGATCTGTCAGAGTCCTTGGCCAAGTGGTTCAGCTGTTAGCACCTCTACTGCAGCCATGGTAGCACTATCCAAAATATACGATAGTTTTGACAATTGCTCCAAAACTCAGCTTTAAATTTTGCAAAGCACTTTCCATAAAACCCGAGGCTTAGGATAGTGGCAGTTGAGGATCTGGGTTGGAATTTAGCTCTGCTACTTCCTCTGTGGGTTTGAGCAAGTCACAACTTCTCTGGACCTGTCTCCTAAATGAAATCAGACTAGATGATCTCAACATGTTTTCCAGCTCTAAATCTGTTATCCTATTATTTCTATCCTGCAGATAACCTGTCTTACCCTGTTTTCTTAAGTGACTTGAACCCAGGACTTCTGATTCCAACTTCAGTGCTTTTTCCTCTACAGCATGTTGTTTTATCATGTTATAAATACCTTGAGGGCAACGACTATATATATATATATATTTTTTTCTCCTCAGTATCCTAGGAAATAGCACTATACCTTGCACATACTGTCCCTATTATAGAAATGATTTTTTTTATTCACTATTACACTCTCCTTAGAAAAATGTTGAGTGTTTGAGGCAAATTGGCATATATTAAGAAGGCTGAAATTAACCTATTTGCAATTTGGCAAATGAGACCTGTCCCAGGGCAAAGAACCACTCATTTGAGGCTTTTTAAAAAGAAGACTTGGGGTAGTTAGGTGGCTCAGTGAATAGAGCACCAGCCCTGGAGTCAGGAGGACCCGAGTTCAAATGCGACCTCAGACACTTGACACTTACTAGCTGTGTGACCCTGGGCAAGTCACTTAACCCCATTGCCCAGCCCAGGAAGAAGAAAACAAAAGAACATTTTATTAAGTTGAAGCAGAAAATTCTGAAACTGAAAAAGCCTTACTCTTTTTTATACATAAAGTAGGCTTTAAAAGGTGATTTCATTGTTTGGTCAAATTCTATTTGCCAATTTGCATAATGCTGTTTTTCATGTCAGTTGTGACAAACAAAATCAGATGTGTATGAAGTAAATGCTGTTCACGTGAATATCACAGCCATCGATGTCACATAATTTTATTAAAGGATCAATGAATATGTGATTATTCAGAGCCTCTTATAAAATATAGTTTGTTGCATCATAAGGCAACCTGCTAATGAAATTTGTCTAGCTGTCAATTTAATCATTTTCCTTTTCTCTACATGCAAATCTATTAAAATTACAGAAGACATCCTTTCACGTTCATTCAGCAAATGATTCCTAGGAATCTATGTATAAAGCCCTATATTTTCTCTTGTTGATAGTAAAAAAAAGTAAACAGTCATGGAAATATGCTCACTAATCCATTCTCCAGGACATTAATAGTTATCAACTATCCTGCTGCTTGAATGGAGTCAGTTGTTTTCTTATTAACCTATATTCATAACTGAACCTATATTCATAACTAACCTATATTCATAACTGAAGTTTGATATTTGCCAAAAATGCAACACAGGTGGCAGGTGCTATATTATCAAGGAGCCTTAAAGTTTTTCTATCATATAGGTCAATTAAATCTTATCCACTGATTTCCTTTACAGCAGTGATATAAAATGCTTCAGGCTTTTGGGAAGATGCATAATAGTGGTTATTCTACATTCTAATTATTTCATTTAATTGATTAGTAGTGCTATTTATCAAGTCTTTAAAAGCTACATCTTTTATTTCATTTAATTTTTTTTTCTAAACAAAAACTTATGGGCAGACTTTGGTCTGTTTCTTTTTCAGAGTGTGCTGGACAATCCTTTCCCCATTTCCTGATCTGCCCCCAAGTTTCCCCATTATAGCAGACTTTCTTTACTCTTACCTTTCTAGAATAGACATTCCTTCATGTTCTTTTCAACCTTAAGATTATAATGAATACCTGAGATCCCTCTCTCTTATACTAGTTCAGTATGGTGTACCATTCATGGATTTGACTCTGTTCCTTGTCTTGGAAATACATCTGAGTCATTTTCCCTTCCTTGTATCCTCACATGTATACATGAAACATACTCTTTTTAAATTTCAAGACCTCAGAGTAATAATAATGCTATCCCGAGTTTGTAGAGTGCTTTTATACTTTTGAGTATAAAATATTAGCTTATTTTATCATCAAAATAATTTTGAGATAGGTAGGGGAGATAACTTCCATTTTTAGATGAAATAAACAAGAAGTTGACCAGCTGCCCAAGTAAAACAGTAACCCATGTTTTAAGGTGCTTTACTGTTTACAAAGAGCTTTCTTCAGAACTTTGTGACTTTGTGAATAGCACATGTAATGTTTTTGCCATTTTATTCTATTTTTTTTTTAAGGCAACTGGGGTTGAGTGACTTGCCTAGGGTCACACAGCTAGTAAGTGTGAAGTGTTTGGTCTGAGGCATGTTTTTGCCATTTTAGAAATGAAAAAATAGACCCAGAGAAGATAAATGACTTGTCTCATAGTAAATAATAATAGTTCAGAGTAGCAGTCAAATCCCATGTTCAGTATTCTTTCCACTACCTCACAGCACTTTCCCTTTTAGAAAAGACTTCCAATGGCTTCTGATTTTTATCTGGTCTTACATGTATTATAGTCAGCTAATCTTAAAGAGCTCGGGTCAAAACCCTTTACTAGTATTATTAGTATATCTTAAATCATATGAAATAAGTACTTAAGTTGACTAGATTGTAATCAAATTTAATGTGATAGACATGAAAATACTCATTTTATGAAAAGGATGATAAAATTTATTTAAATGACTGTCTTGCAATGTGTTGGCCAAGTGTTTCGCATGTCTTTGTTAATATATATGTAGAACCATGTGATAAATGGGCAAAGAGAAATAGCCATGGCAACAACCAGTAGAACCCTTCTACCAACTGGATTTCTAGAAAAAAACAAAAAATCAGTGTTATTATTTTAATTAAAAATTATCCTATCAAAAGTGCTAATAACTGTGCTACTTCTTATAACTTAACTGGTACAGAAAGACAATTTCTATTAGTAGTCTTAAATCACAGAACCAGCTAGCATTAGCTTTCTCTAGAAAAGTAGGTACTCTTTTCATCAATAGTACTTGGTTAGCTAGTCCTGAAGCTCCTTAATTTTAAACTAATGGGATGAAAACTTACTTTGTTGAGATGTGGCAAAGACTCAGCCATACTATAATAATCCCAAGTCCAAACAGCTCCCTAAGAGAAAAAAGTATGGTATTTTTATATCTTTAAAGTGGTAAAAAATGAAAAGCATATCAAATGAGTTACTGTAGCTAAGATTCCTCTTAATACTAATTTCTGATTGAATACCTCCCCTCAATCTATATAAACTCCTAAAGATGTTTCCCACCTTAATGATGATGATTCATCAATAATTTCATTTAGAAGTTATAAAACCCAATATAAGATAAGAGACAAGTGACTCACCTTTATTTGTGAGAAGCAAAAAAATAAGAAACATAAGCAAAAAGGTTAAATCAGTCATTCAACAAGAATTTATTATGAACCTCATATATGCCAGGCACTATACTACTGAGCAAGAACCAAGAAAATGTGATTCTTGTTTCCTACAGACATTTTAAAAATAGTATTCCTAATATACAAGATTATTATACATTTTAAAAATTGCCCGTTACATAGTGGCAACATGACCTTGGACAAATCACTTAACTTCTTGACCCCCCGACAATTCTCTACGACTGCATTGCTTTGAGTCAGCTTGATATAGAACTGGAGTCAGGAAGTTCAAGTCCACACCTCAAATATTTAGTACCTGTATGAGCCAGGACAAGTCATTAAACTAATTTCTCACCCTCAGTTTCCTCACTTGGAAAGTGGGGATGATAATAGACCTACTTCATGGGTCTACTGTGAGGATGAATTGAGATAATGTATGTAAAGTATTTTGCAGACATTACAATTCTATACAAATGTTTATTATTGTTAGCTATCATTATGATTATTGTTGATAAAGGACATTTTTTACAGGAAGTTCCCTACAAAAGTGAACTTATAGGTCAAGAGAAAAAAAAAGGTACTGTAATAAGGTCAGATGGCGATTGAGTTAGCTGTCTGTCAGTAAGGAGGAGTGACCACTGGAGAAGAGGAATTTGTGATCTCTAAAAAGCATATGCTCTTTTAGATAGACTTATATAGTGTAAGTTATGATCAAATGTGTCTCTTAACTTTTACAAAAGGTAGGAAATAGCCAAAGTTAGTAGCTATGGGTACCGGGCTTGCCAAAGCTAGAGGTTATCCCATCCTGTCAGGTTTCCTTTCATGACCCCAGATTCAATATACTCTGCTCATTGGCACCACTCGGAGATTTTATATACTATATATAGAGAGAATTTATTTTCAGATTCATTAATGAAGCAGTAACTTGTTAGCTTGTGTCAGCTTGGGAGTAAACCTAGGCTGTATTAGACTGGATCTGGAGGCAGAAATAGAAACTAGTGGGTAAAATTTACCTATGTAAAGTCTCTGAATTTCAACAGATGGCTATAGATATGGAATAAGAGTAGAATATTAGCTATAGAGGTTGATGAAAGGTAAGTTCAGTGAGTTGTGGGGACATAATACAAATAGGTATTTGGAATGGTTCATGGGAAGAGATTACTAAGGGCATAGAGAACAGGCATAAACCAAGGAAATTTCACTACTGTTAGGCCTCAAGTGTTACTACTCAGTTGACTGATTAAACTTAGACATTATTAAAATTTAGCTTGAACTATTGCTGAAATAGAATGCTGAAAAAGTAACCATTGAAATAGTATATAGACAATCCAAAATATTATGAATCATTTATGATTCTTTTCATCAGAATCTGTTTAAGGATTTGCTGAGCTCATGGGATTGCATATTAGTAGAGTGGTGAGTTTCTGCTTGTCATAGTAGATATTTGATTCAGTTAAATGATATGCAGTACTTACTCTGGAAAGGCACTGTGCTACAGTTGAAAAACCTCAAGCTGGAGTCAGAACACCTGGATTTGAGTACCAGCTTCACCATCTGTTCAGTTTTATTATAGGGATACAACCTGTCATTCTTAGTCCATAGGGATATTATGGGAATCACATGTGATAATGTAAAAATGTTTTGAAAATTAAAGATCTATACAAAGGTAAAACATTACATCATTGTATTGTTGGTGGAGCTGTGACTTGGTTATCCTTCTGGAAAGCAATTTTGAACTGTCCTCAAAAAGTTATTAAACTGTGTGTATCCATTGACCCAGCAATATAATTTCTAGGCCTAGATCCCAAAGAGATAAAAGAAAGAGTGTACAAAATGTACAGAAATATTTATAGCAGCTTTTTTTTTTTGTAGACAAAGAACTGTTGTCAAAGGGTTGTCCAACAACTGAGGAATGAATGGCTAAACAAATTATGGTATATGAATAGAATGGAAAACTATTGTGCTGTAAGATATAATGAAAGAACAGATTCAGAGAAACTTCCAAAGACTTGTATGAACTGATGCAGTGTGAAGTGAGCAGAACTAAAACAATGTATATAGTAACAACAAGTTGTAAAGACAGCCTTGAAAGTTCTTCAGAACTATTATCAATGCAATGACCAGCCATGATTTCTGAGGACCAATTATAAAGCATGTTATCCACCTCCTGACAGTGTTGATATACTCAGGGTGTAGAATGAGTCATGACAAATGTGGGAATTTGTTTGCCTGACTGTAATTTTGTTACAAGGGTTTGTGTGTTTAGTGTATGTGGAGGGAGAAGAGAAAATGCATTTTTGTTCATTGAAAAAAGTTGATTTAAAAACAAGAATAAGGCATTTCATTAAGCTATTAAAGATTTCTTAATTCTCTACCTATTTAAAGCAAACATCCCAAAAGTCATTGCTCACCTGCCTTCTTCCTCATGTAAGATGTTCCTTTCTGTATGAAGGAAGAGGTAGAAGCCCAACTTAACAGTCCCCAGAGCACAAAGGAATAAGTGCAACTTGGTAAGGTTCTTCCAGATAAAATTACCTAGGACAAACAATGCTAAGGCATTAATCATGACCACATATTTTAGAGGAGGGCTTTCCATATGGAGAAAATTAAAGTTATGGATTTTGTGTCAGTTGCCTTATATTTAAGAACTTATTAACAATAATAGTTTAATGCCAGGTATTCAAGGCAAATTTTTGGTTAGGTGCTGCATTCAGACAATCCATGTTTTGTGGAAGAAGCATATTAGTCAAAAAGAGACTGCCAGCATGGAGAAGAAATGGCAAGAAGTCACTGCACATGTTAGATGACAAAACTTCTCCACCAGGATGGAATATATCACTTCTATAAGCATTTATTATGAAAAATAAAATAGAAGATAATCGCTACTTACGATCTACTTGAGATAAAACATACATACATATAAAACAGCTAGAAAATAATTTGAAAGAAACAATCAAATGTGTGATAAAACTTTTAAGCATCAGAGAGTATCACAATAAGGATATAATTATTGGAGTTAAAATAAACCCGGAAAGAATTTATGAAGGGTGGGGTCTGAAGCCAGTTTTTGAAGGATGAAGAGAACAAGAAAAAGTTGTACATCTAAATCCAAAGGTGTCCTTCCTGCCTCAGATCTCTTGCCACTCCTGTCCATTCTACACACTGCTGCCAAAGTAATTTCCTTTAGTGCTAATATGACCATGTGACTTCTTTACTCAACCAACTCCAACGGCTTCCTATTGCATCTGTTTAGCTTTTAAAACCATTCATAGTCTAGCTCCAACCTACCTCTTCTATCTCACATCCACATTATTCCCTCTCCCATACTCTTTGATCCAGCCAGATTTGTCTTCTCACAGTTCCTCACTCAAGGCCATCCTCCATACCTGGAATGCCCTTAATATTCTTAATTGTACTTCAGAATCTCTCTCCCTTTAAGATGGAGCTCAAGTACCATTTTCTTTATGAAGCCCTTCCTGATCCTCTCAACTGCTACTGTCCTTTCCATAGAGTACCTTATATTTAACTACTTGGTGTGTGTATACATATGTCTTATATATGTTTATTAACTTTATGCTGTATATATACTTGTCCTCCCCATTAGAACGTAAACTCATTTTCTATAAAGAATCCTTTCATTCTTTGTACTGTTGTATTCCTAGGGCATAGCAGAATGCCTGGCACATAATGCCTGGCACATAGTTTACTGATTGATATTCTTCTGCTCTTGAGTCAGAAGCAAACAGTAAGTACTTAGTATATTCAATTGATAGCTTACTTGGCCTGAGAGAAACCTATGACTTTGGCTTTATTAGCACATTCTAACTAATTCAGCTACCATTTTAGAGATTGGTTGATGGGAAAAGAACTACACTGTGCAATCTTCAGAATATGTGGTAACACCTTACTGTCCTACCACTAATACATAAAGTTATATCATCTTTGTATACATTCTGGCCCATTTCTCTGAAACTTGTCTAGGTTTAGAGAAATATTTAAGCTACTCCAAATGTTAGACTCATTAGCAACGAACTGAATTGGGCAAAATAAAATTCTACCCAAATGAGGATTTGCAGGACTTTCTCTGTTTTTCTGTTAATATGATCCCTCTCTTCTCAATAGTCTCTTCTCTCTAGGTTTTTATAACACTGCTCTCTCCTGATTCTTCTCCTTCCTGTCTGACTGCTCCTTAATAACTCCCTTTGCTGGATCTTCATCCAGGTCATACCCGTTCACTATGGGTAACCCCCAAGGTTGCATCCTATGTTATCTTCTCCTCTTCCTCTATACTGTTTCATGGTTTCAACTCATTTCCATGGTCTCAACTATCATTTCTATGCAGCTAGGTGGTACAACGGATAGAGAGCTAGGGGGGAAGTGCAAAACAATCTGTGGTATATTAATAGAATATTATGGCACTATAAGAAATGAGATGATTTCAGAGAAACCTGAAAAGATTTGTATAAACTTATGCAGATTGAACTTAGCCAAACCCTGGGAAAAATTTCTACAATATCATCAGCATTGTAAAGAAAAATAACTTTGAAAGACTTAAAACTGTGTTGACTGCAATGACCAACAATGGTTACAGGGGATCAGTGATGAAACATCCTACCCACCCTCATGACAGAGAAGTGATGAACTCAAGGTACAGAATGGACTTTTGGATGTGGTCAATGTGGAAATTTGTTTTATTTGACTATATTTGTTATAAGAGGTTTTTTGTGTTTTTTTTTAAGGGGGGGAAGAGTTGAGAAGAGGGCTATTAATATGGTTTCCAAGAAGAAAAGGAAAACAAGAGGGTCACTGAAAAATTTTTAAAAATTCACAGAAAAGAATATAATGAAAGCCAGAAGGAAACACAGATAAGCCACAATTATACATACTTAAACTATGTGCCAGGCAGCATGCTAAGCACTAGATTTACAGGACAACTTTGAAATTTACATGAACATTTATTAGGTTTAAAAGATGTTCTGCTTATCAGTGTACCTAATAGGGATTAGTGGTTTGAGATAAATATATTCTTTTTCTGTTCTATTTTGCATATGGAAACTATGTATTTATGGTGTTTGTCAAGTTCAGAATTTTGGGAAAAAAAATTAAGAAACAGCTAGCATTTGGCTGGATGGCCCTGTTGGTCTTACTTTAAAGACACAAGAAAATTTAAAATGTTATTCAGGGCTAGGCTGAAACCATATACTCTGACTCTGAAAGTGGCATCAGTGGATATGTGGGAAGGTAACAGTAACTATCTCAAAAAGTAAAAGATAGAATTTTATGTGTATTTAACCTAAACCCTTTTGGAATCAATTTAAAATTACCCATCTCTCAAAATTACAATAAACAGGTTTGCTATCCAGAATATAAAATACTTCCTTAATTGTCCTGAAACAACTTATTTCATTAAGCTTCACAGAGTATCCTCTAATTCAATCTGGTATTTATAAACAATTTACTATTCATGCCCTTTATGATTTCATTGACTTGGATCATATTCTCTCAATATCCTCTTTCTAGGCTAAGGAAGTGGATGATCTAAATTATCGGTGATAGTAAGCTTACAAGGATCAATAGACAAACAACCAACTACTCATGACACATTTGTTAAAGAGACTAGAATACCCCCAAATCTCACTTAGTTTGTGATCTTTTCAACAATGAACAATAAAATGCCTGGCAGGCTAAGCCCCACTAAATAAATGTATAATTTGCTTGAGAGAAGCATTTGATGATCACTGTCAAGGATATGGATTACTGGAAGAAATTTCTAGCTTAATAACAATATACGAACCCATCAAAAATGACTTCTATGAATTTAGCATAGACAGTAATTTTTTAGCATTTCTAAAGGTATAAATATATATATTTTTTTACTTTTTGGTGAGGCATTTGGGGTTAAGTGACTTGCCCAGGGTCACACAGCTAGTAAGTGATCAAGTGTCTCAGGCCAGATTTGAAATCAGGTCCTCCTGACTCCAAGGCCAGAGCTCTTTCTACCGTGCTACGTAGCTGCCCCCATAAATACCAGTTCTGAAAGGAAGACTTATAGGAGAAACTGAAAGAAAAAACAGTAATGGAGAATCAGAAATTTTGAAGGTTCTGGAATCGTGAAGACCAGAAAATGAATTTGGGTAGGTGAAATTTGACAGCACTTGAGAAGCTGAATGAAAAGAAGGGCTAGAGCTAGAGGAGAATTCTAGAAGAACAAGAAAGGTCTCAGGAGGTAAGCAGGGGTGATTCTCATTTCTGCAGTGAAGGTAATAAAATTCCTTTAGCTCAATTCAAAAGCTAATTTCATACCTGTGATCAGAGGGTTAAGTCCAACAAGCAGAGTAAGGATAGCAGGTATCATGTATATAACCTGTTAGCAAAACAGAATATCCCCAGTATCACATGAAAGTTTGAGTAACTCTTCTGAATATGATCATGGGATCATGGATAGAGTGTAAAGAAATCTTAGAGGTCATTTAGTCCAAACCCTTTATTTTATAATACAAGAAATCTGAAGATCTGGATAGGTTCAGTCTTTTTGCCCACGATCACAAGGTAGTATGGCAAAACCTGGTTCTTTGATGACTCCAAATCCCTTGTTCTTTCCACTTGTATCATCCTGCCTCTAAGAAATAACCATTAAGATCCAGCTTTCCAGTTTGAAACTATTAGTGTACTATTAAAAGGATCACCACAAATGTAGTTATGACATTTGCCCTCAATAGATTTAGGCTTACAAAGTCATTCTGCTGTTGCTAATTTTAAGAAATTTCTAACAGCAAGACATAGCGATAGAAAATCTAGGCTAGACAGGTTACTGCTAGAAAATTTAACTGTTAACAACTGTTGATTTATGAAATCTTATCTCTCTCCTTTTAAGATAATCCTTTCTCTTAGTCATAGTATTTAATTTAATTTTATTTTTTTGAGGCAATTGCGGTTAAGTGACTTGGCCAAGGTCACACAGCTAGTGTCTGAGGCCGGATTTGAACTCAGGTCCTCCTGACTTCAGGGCCAGTGCTCTAAACACCATGCCACCTAACTGCCCCTAGTCATAGTATTTTAGAGGTAAGGGTACCTTCAAGCCCATCCATAGGTGTTACCTACACAGCTCATGACCAATGTGGATGTTTATTAAAATCAAAACATGAAGTCTTGTTAGTCCTTGAACTGTCAATCTAATCTCCAGGGAAACCTGGAACATGCTTTCTGATTCAGTACCGAAGTCACATCTTCTGACTCAGTCTTATATCTTGTTTCCCTGTCGGCTATAGCAAAAGAATGAGGCTAGAAAATGTAAGTAGTATAGTTTCCTTCATAATGATCTTTTGATTAGAAAAGCTATTTTGGCAACAGCACTCCTAAGTCACTATACTCCTTTCGGGTCTGATTTCTCCTTGATCAGTGCCTGATTACCACTGAAAAAGTATTCTTTATTAAAACAGCTTTCCACTGATTTTCAAAACCCTCTAAAAACATTTAGGAAGGAAAAAGTGTTTGGCTTCTTTAAGAAAGAACCAGTTCCTAACAAGTCTAAATTAACTGCACAAAAGACATTTTGAAGTGGAAACATCACTGGGCTGGGAGCCAAGAAGCCTTGGTTCTAGTTTCAGTTCTGCAACTACCTTTGATCTTGGGCAAGGTACATTTCTGGTTTATAGTTTCCTCATGTGTAAAATGAGGGGACTGAGCTAGATGGGTTTTTAAGGTCCCTTCCCTTCCTCCAATACTTTGATTCCTACCAAGACAGCACAATTTAAAAACTTTTGCAATGATTTCCTCACAGCAACTGTCATGTTGGTCCGCACTTAAATCTTAAAAACTATGTATTTATTCACATTGAATGAATACTAAACTTCAGGGCAGAGATTTTTAAATTTTCAGTTAATTGTCCGGTAAACGTGTCCCATGGTACCTGGAAAACAATGATGCCCACTGTGAACACTCAGCAAATACAGCAAAATCTATTTGTAATGTTGATACTAGGTCAGTTTTGGGAGTTATTTCATCAGTTTTACCAAAGTTTCAGACATTTGATTTGCCTTTATATTGAATCTGAATAATCAACAAGCACTGATGTGCCATGCTCTGTGCTAAACACTGGGGATATTAATACAAACCAAAATAAAGAGTGCTTACCTTCAAGGAACTTGAAGGTGATACACAAAAGAAAGCTAAACATTGAAGTGGGGGGGGGCAGGGAAGGTACCTGAGGGAAGCCTGGTTAGGGAGGAATTGACCAATCAGAAGAAGGGGCTTCAGGGACAATGGAGTTACATTTCCTCTAAGAAGGCCAACTTTTGGATATTCCTCAAACACCCCCCACCTTAAGATCAAACAGGTTTACAGTCACCTCTCCATTGCCTCAACTTTGGTAGAAAGGGGATAGGCCAGGGGGCACGAAGGAGGGCTGGAAGCGGGGGAGGGCAGAGAGGAACCAGGGATTGGAGAAAGCAGTGGCACCTTTGGTATAACCAACTCACTGGTTCTCAGAGGATGACACTGACAGCGACCACTGGCCTACCACAGGAAGGAGGGGACAACAATATAATTTATTATGTCATGTAATAAGTAGTATTATAATAAGATTCTGCTTAATCAGTAAATCGAATTAAATTTGATAATCTAAAGTACATGGGAACTAATTAGAATAAAATTAGATCATTGGCTACTATTGCTACACAATTCAAAACAAAACAAAAGTCTGGGAATCCTTTCGTTGGAAATGCAATACAACCATGCCTGGTCAGACCAAACAGAACTGAGTAAGATCTACATATATAAATTCCAGATATTCCATAATAGTAAAATACTAATTACTTGATACTGTATAGTGCTTTAAGATTTAAACATCTTAACAGCCTTATGATGTAGTAGTATGCTCATTTTACAGATTCAGCACTGGTTATGTGACTCTTGGCCAAGACATTTAACTTTCTTGGTGCTCAGACTACTCTGTAAAGTTGCAGAATCATTGCTATTCTACGTTGGTAGAGGAATTTTTTTATTGGACATCAGTGAAAACACAAATCATTACCACTACTCTTCCCCAAAAATGGTGAGAAAATTGAGGCTCAAAGAAAAGAGGTGACTGAACTGCCAATGGTCACATATATATGGTAAGAGATAAGAATCAAACTTAGATCTTGAAGTTCATTTATTCACTATATCATGCAGTCAAAATAAAGACTTCACAATCCTTCTTTCTAATGCACTCTAAATCACAGTATTTAGATGAAATGAGTATTTTAATTATAGTCTACTTTGATTTTATTTTGTAATTATCCCTTATAGACTTAGTAGAAGCACAACCCTGGTTCATCTGATTTCCAGGTCAAAATTCATAGGACAAGTCTTACAGAATTCGCTAGATGGTTCCTGCAGGTTTAGAGGCTAAAATAAATACAATATGAACAGTTGCTGGTTGGAGACTTAGAAATCTCTTTTAGCATTCCTAATCCTCCCTATTCCCCCCCCCCCAAAAAAAGAGGTCTGCTACTTCTGCCAATTCAAGAAAGGCAATTAATGAAAGTAATAGAGATCTCTAAGTCTCCATATTGTTATAATTTAGATGTGTGATTTCATCAATGGGGTATTCAGCTAATGTTGTATATTGCTGCCTTCTCAATAAATTAAGTAGCAACCACTTGCCCAGTGTGTGGAAGTCTCCAGAAAATGCTTAATTTATATACAAGAAAGTGTGCCTGGCTTGCAATCAGTTATTTTTTCCCCCTTCATTGAGAAAGGCTTTTAAAAAGTCTGATATGCAAGTAAATTCAGAGAGTTTAAAGAAACAGACAGACAAAGCTATAGCGTGCTATATTACATGTAATTCATACTCACCATCCACAGTTCTGCATCTGGGTCATTTATCTGTAACAGCAAAATAGGGACTTAGCTAAGCACATAAGGAGAAGACTGTCAAATCACACTCCATACCAAATTTAGTCTACTATGATAGTTAAACTGTTTTATTAAAGGAAGTTCTCATTCCAGTTAAAACTAAAGGATGGCTTTACTGTTTACAAGCACTATCTTGGGTCTCTAAAGTGCATAGGACAGGCCTAGAATACAGGATAAGAAAACGTGTTTGGAGGTGACCATAGAGAAGTGTTTAGAAAATAAGATGCTATAAAGCAAAAAAAAAAAAGGTAGTAAGGGGAAATGATGGTATTTAAAGCTAAAAAAGACTTTAGGGATCATCTCCCTAGTACAACCTCTCACTTTACAGGTGAGGAAACTAAATAGGGGCTGTCTCACTTGTATTTGTCTTCCTCACCCCTAGCACAAGGTAACCATTAAATACATGCTTGTTGATTGAATTGGAGGTCACACAGGTAGTAAATAGCAGGGCCAGAATTTTAACCCAGGTCTTCTAATTCCCAAACCAGAGCTCTTACAGACATTCAGCAGGCATTTAGGGTCTACTGTGTTCACAGCAAGGGCTGTTTGGGGCTCACAGGAAGTGTGGCACAGTTGTAACAATTGACAGCTCATTATCCTGACAGCTGAATGTATCTGGATTCCTCCCACTCAACAAAATTACCAATTACTGATCCCAAAACGCCTGCAGATCAAGGGATCAAAGATTCTGAGATGAAAAAAAATCAAAAACCAAAAAAACCTTCGAAGTCATTTAGCCAACTTCCTCATTTTACAAATGAGAAGACTCAGAGAGGTTAAGTCACCTGCCCAAGGTGACAGTGGCAGGTGTACTCATGAGGAGTGAGGTTCAGGGGAAAAACCCTGAATTTGGAATACAAACCTCGGTCTGAGCCCCAATCCTGCCACTTATTCTGGCCTTCAGTTTTCCCACCTGTTAAACAATGGAGCCAAAATAGAAATTCTCTTCTTTAGCAATTTAGAGATTAGATTTCTTCCTAATAATAATAAACATCATGTATACGGTGCTTTGAGGTTTGCAAAACGCTTTACAAGCATCTCATTTAATCCTCCCAACAACCACGAGAGGCAGGTGCTATTATCTCCATTTTACAGATGAGGAAACTGAGGCGTACAGAGTTTGAATGACTTGCTAAGCCACTGTCTCTAGGTCTAAGATCTCCCTTTTATCCACCGTAGCCGCCCTAGCTCCGTTTGCTCCTGAACCATAGGGTACTACGGGGCATTAAGAAACACCAGCCTTGCCTAAAACTCGTTTTAGAATCCCCAACCCCCCCCCATCTTTCGTCTAGTCCCTCCCCCTCGCGACCCCCCTTCAGAGAGTCCCTATCCCCTTCCACTTCCGCTCTCTCCCACCAATCACAGATGTGCTGCAAGCTGACGTCAGAACCTACGCCTGCGACTCGCGTTTAGCCTGGCGGGGCTGGACCTGAGCTGACCTGCACGTAGGCCGCCAGCGCGAAGAACGCGGCCATGAGCAAGTTGCAGCTCCTCCATAAGGTCTCTGCCGGGGACCTCACGAATGCCATCTCGCGCTCCTAGGAGCGCGGACCTCCGTAGTCCGTAGTTCGTGGGCCCCAGGAGCTCAGCCGGGGGAGGAGTTGGGTCCTGATCATGCCCACGCCACGCCCTCCCTGGCCCCGCCCCTTCCCTCTCTGGCCTCTCTGCCCTGGAAAAGTGGGAGCGAGGAGCCTAGTCCCACACCTGAGCAGCGGCCCGTGGAGTTCATTAGGCCTTTGGGGTTTGGTGCCAGGTCAACCACTTTATTTTACGTACGAGAATATAGAGGGACAGAGAGACCTAAGTGACCTTGTGATGAGTGACACAGCCAGGACTATAATACAGTGATTTTTAACCGCCTCTCCACAACAACAAAAGGTATATAACAAATTTACGTTTAGTTTACATTATTAACAGTTTTTTCCATTACTTTCTTAAGTCTAGACAGCCAACAAAACAATCAAACCTTGATTTCCAAACTATTGTAGATGCTCATACTGAAATTTAACAATCAGCTCTCCATAAGCCAGCAGGAGGAACAGGCTGTAGCAATCTCATAGCCCAACATCAGGCACGGCCCATGCCCTAGTGAAGTTTTTAGATAATCACAATTAAAAAACACTTTAGAGATTAAAATTTTCTATGATCCCTCAACAACCCTGTAAAGATATTTTTTTCACATGGAGAAACAGGGCTAAGAGACTTGCCCAGGGGCACACGCCTGAGATTGTGTCTGAGACAAGATTCTAACCCATGTTTTCCATAATCCCAGGAATTTTTTCCGCTAGACCACCCAGCTTCCTAGAACAAACTGTTGTACAGTCGCAGGCCAAAAGTATTGAGTACAGTCCTTATTTGAATGATATTTAATATTTAAAAATGTTTGCACTCTCTTGAGTATGTTTGGAAACTCTAGAAACCTCACAGAAAAATGATGAAAAGAGGGTGGTTTTCTGTGACATACTCAAGACACTGGTCTTTCTCAGAGCACAGAATAGTTTTTTTTAAAATAAGATATATAATACACATATTTATGGGCCTGTATGTATATGTGTATATATACACACAGATATGTATTTACTGTCTATTGAACTTAGGAAAATAGATGTCCCATAGGCATCCTAAACTCAATGTATACAAAATTGAACTTATAACTAAAAATTAATTGAAACAATTCAGCAAAGTTCTTGAATGTAAAATAAACCCACAGAAATCATCAGCATGTTTGTATATTATCAACAAAATCTAGCAGGAAAATAATTTCCACTGAGAGTAAGTATAGAATATATTGAATACTTAGTCTACCTGCCAAGACACACACAGTAACTTTAATAATAGAACTATAAAACACTCTTTATACAAATATGGATCTAAATAATTGGAGAAATATGAATTGCTCATGGGTAGGCTTTCCCTATTAGTAAAAATGGTAATATTACCAAAATTAATCTACTTATTCTGTGTCATTTCAGTTAGAAGGCCAAAGGATTACGTTAAGGAGCCAGGGGAAACAAAGGTCAAGGATTTCACAGGAAATAATGGGGGGAAAATGGTAAAGAAGGGAATCTAGCAGTATCTGATTTCAATCTATATTAAAAGCAGTAGCAGTAATCCTCAAAATGATTTAGTACTGGTTAAGAAATAGGTCGCTCATTGGAATAGATTGGATATATTATACAATATACAGTTATACAATATGCAATTATATAATCTACAGAAGTACATGAGCACAGTAGCCTAGTACTTGATAAACCTAAAGATCTGAGATACTGGGTAAAGATCTCACAATCTGATGAAAATTTCTGGGAAAACTGGAAAGCATTGTGGCAGAAATTATCTATAAACCAACATCTCATTCCATATATCAAGATAAGCTCAAAATGGGCACATGACAGACCTAATACAGGGTGACATCACAAGCAAATTAGAATAACAAAGAAAAAAATTGCCTATGGATAGGGGAAGAGTTCAACAAGGGATAGAGAGAATTACAGAAGGCAAAGTGGACAATTTGGATTACATAAAATTAAAATGTGTTTCTACAAACAAAGCCAATAAAAATTAGAAGGAAAATATCTGGGAAAAAAATCTTAGCAGTAAGTTTCTCTGATAAGGATCTCATTTCTAGGATATAGGTATATATGTACACATATATACACACATGTATAATACATATTTACATAAAATATATGTATAAATTATATATGTATTATGTTTACTTATTTAAATTTGTATATATCTATATATATATTTGGCCTTAGAAATGAGATGCTTATCAGAAAAACTTGCTCAGATATTTTTCTCAGTTACCTGCTTTCTTTCTAATTTTAGCTTCATTAGTTTTGTTTGTGCAAAAACCTTTTTAATGAAAAATGTTGTACATGTAAACACACAGTGCATTAATTCTCTGTCAGGAAGTGGGTAGCTTGTTTTACCTTAAGTCTTCTGCAATCATGGTTGATCTTTCATTGCTCAGAGTTTTCAAGTCTTTCGAAGTTTGTTTTATATTATCGTAATTAGAGAAATGCATATCTAAACAACTCTAAGGTCCTACCTCTCACTCATCAGATAGGCAAAAATTGACAAAAATAAAGGAAAATAGCAAATGTTGATGGGGCTTTGAGAAAACAGGTACATTAATCATTCTGCAAAGCAATTTAACCATGGCCAAAAAGTCATTAAATTGTAGATACATTTTGACTTAGCAATATCTCTACTAGGCCTATGCCCCAAAGAGCTCAGAGAAAGAGAAAAAGGAACCATGTATTTAAAAATATTTATAGCAGTCCATTTTGTAGTGGTAAAGAGCTGGAAATTAAGAGGGTTGCCAGTCAACTGGGGAATGGCTAAACAAAGAATATGAGTGAAATGGAATATTATTGTGATGTAAGGAATTATTTAAAAAAGGATATGTTTAAGGAAACCTGGGAAGAGCTGTATGAACTGATACAGAGTAAAGTGAACAGAACCCAAGGAACAATTTATACAATAACCTTTTAAATACAAACAACTTTGAAAGACTTAGGATCTCCAATCAATGTAGTGACACCATAGGATCAATGATGAAGCATGCTTGTTAAGCACTGCTTGACAGAGACCTGAGGTAATAAAGATGTAGAATGATGCATGCAGTTTTGGTTATGGCCAGTGTAGGAATATGTTTTGCTTAACTGTGAATATTTGTTACACAGGTTTTGTTTTTCCTTTTTTTCTACAATTTTTTGGGAGGAGGCAAAATGGGGGGGGTGCACTAAAGTTAGCAGTCCCCTTCATCCCAAGATGAGAAGAAAAGAGGAGGAAGGTCAGAAGGAATCACAGACAAAGAAGACAAGTTTTTAACATTGTATGTTAAATTTATTATATACTGAAAACAAGTTAATTCTATGTAATAGAAATTTACAATTTCACGGCCAGACCTCTTCTGTTTCACATTTTATATGAATATATATAAATGCAGATCAACAGCAAAAAAGAATTTACTTCTGTCCCTCTTCTGTTGTGAGAGTGGGAGTGGGGAATGAACTTACAGCCTCTGGTGCTTGATTTAATTCCTTAATATTGACTTTGCACTTTGTTAAAGTAAATGACCTTTACTTTGCTATGAAGTTTTGCATTTTATTTTGGTTTGTTCTGAGAGTCAGTGGAAATGGAGACTTAGTTATGGATTGACATAGATGATTAACCTTTTATCTGTCAAGGTATTCTGGGAGTAACTAGTAGGGGAAATATTAAAGGACAGCTAGCTACTGTGGTATAGGTGAAAATATAGTGCATTTTTGAAGTAAAGAATAAGTGAAAATACTATGCGCTTTGAATTGGGGTACTCTGATAAATGCTTCTTTTTCTTAGACATTTAAGAGTCTCTATCAGTGAAACTTGAGAGTGGAATCTGATGTCACTCTGTAAGGTGGGGGATGAAAAATGAAATCTATAAATCTGTATTTTGTCTCTAATTGCTTTTGAACAATCTTTTTAAAATGATAGGTGCATGATTTGTTTCGTCACGTTTTCAGGTAATGCATTGATTCTTACTTTATCTCTTAGAGCTTTATCTTTTAGTTTGTCATCTTTGCTTGTATTGTTATCAAGCATTTTTTTTTGGTTGAGCTGACCTTTGCCCTTTGTTGCATTTTCTCCCACTTCTACTAATCAACCTTGTAGCCTGAGAATTTCTTTTCTCATTGATTCCACTTATTCAAGTATTCTATTGCTTTCTCCACTTGTTGACATTTTAACCCATTTATCTTGTTCTATTTTTACTTATGATAGATCTCCCATTACAGATGTCAGACCTTTATTGACAACATATCTTTCTTTAATAATATTAGATCCTACTTAATTTTCTTTAAAGTGTTTATTATTTAGTTTGATGCACCTCATATTAAATCTATCTTCATTTCCTGAGCTGCTGTTGACATTAATTTGATTTTTATTGTTCTTCCTTGTGGAGGTGTTTTTCCCCCTGCTGTTTTCTTATTTCTTTGCCCTTCTTTTCCATTATCTAAGCAGTTATTTCGTCTTGATGTTCTTTGGTTGTTCCTCTTCTTTTCTTTCTTTCTTTTTCTTTCATTTTTCTAATTATTTACTTTATTTGGAGGTGTTATATTGATTCATGTGGGTAGTAGGATATGGGCTTCCTCTGCCATTTTGCTGGAATTCTCATCCTTTAAAAAGTCTTTTACAAAAACTTCCAATTTTTTTCTTTTCTTATACATATTTGTACTGCATTTGGGGATACTTATTCTCTATCTAGAAACTCTCTCCTCTCACTTACCTTTTTATGTTCCCCTATAACTGTTACTAATGCTACATTGCTACAACATTTTGGTATAAGTCCCTGTTTTTTCACATTCATAAACAAGCATTTCTTCTATCCCGTCAAAATGGAATCTTCTTTTTTTATTCTTCTCCCTTTCCTTATAATAAGATTCAATAAATTCTTTGTGGAGAGGCAAGAGGCTATAAGTCAATAGAGTACAACTGTAGGCAAGTCACTTAAAGTCTCTGAGCCTCAGTTTCTTCATCTGTAAAATAAGAATACAGGTAGTCACAACCCTTGCAGAGTTGTTGCAAGGCTCAAATGATATAATACATATAAAGCACCTTCCAAACTTTAAAATCCT